CATAAATTTATGTCCAATAAAATTTGTTCATAAAACTGTTTTGTCCGTATTGGTAGTACAAGAATTCACAGTATTAAGGCTTAATGCCGAGAATGTAAATGAGTTGACTACATTACTTTCAAAAAAAATTGTGGCATATGTATGTAGCATTAGAGAGCAGGGGTATCATGAACCATTCAACTGTTCATTTAAATAGTTTACAAACTTATATTAAGCTCATAGGCATTCCATTAAATCATTTTCTGAATTTGGAGTGGGTACAAGTAGTTCTCAATTTATGACTACAGTTGGGAACATAACTTCCTTTGCTAATTGAAGTGGTTGTTAAATCAACCTGGCTTTCCCCATTGACTTCGTTTGTTGGACACCCCCTGGGAAGGTCAGAAATGATGATCATGTGATCTCAGAGTGCCACAACCATTGTAAAACACATGCCAATTGCCAAGCACTCAAATATTGATCACATAACTCTGAGGATATTGTGATAGTCATAAGTGTGAAGATGGTCATAAGTCTTTTTCCCCCAGCACCATCATAACTTAAAAGTGGTTATTAAATGAATGGCTGTAAATTAATGATTACCTGTATTACTTTTGGCTTCAGAGTTCAAAAGGTCCCTCCAAACATTTCTGTGGATTGTACTTACAGCATAAATAAGAAACGGAAGTTCAGGTCCTATTTTTCTCCAGTCCTCTAGGGTAGAGTAATTTTGGGAAAAAAAACAACAACTTACCAATGGTCAAGTCACTGCTCAGGCGTGGATTTGAATATGGTTCTTTCAGATACAAGTTCAGCATCTTAACCAGCTGAGACTTTTAAGTATGGAGTGTATAGAAAAAGTAGAACAATATATACATGGACACTTTTGTAGTGAGAACATCTTGAGAACAGAATTACTATATGTTTTAGTGACATCTGGTGGCATATAGGAGAACATACAAATACATTCTAAATATTTCTGAACTATGCTATTCTGAGCTATACTGCAAATAATTTTGATCATATTTAAACCAAGTGTTTTGATATATTTACTGTAGTTATTTCAGCTATAATTCCCACATAAATATGCTACTTCTCAGACATTACAGTTTTATCTGCCTGCACTTTTTATTAACTCTTGAAAAAGAAACATTTGAATAAATAATGGTTCTATGTAAAAGATTGTTTTAATGTGAAAATCTGAGTATTCTTATTATAGTGCTTAATTAACACTATAATTGTTTTCTCTTTCAGTCTTGGTCTTCGTAATGGGCAAAGAAGGGGTCCATGGAGGCGGATTGAATAAGAAGGCATACTCAATGGCAAAATACTTGAGAGACTCTGGGTTCTAGTTGCTAGGCAGACTGTTAAGTATTAGGGAAAATTGCTATTAAACTTTCCTGACAGTAATCTACATTGTGGAAACTTTATTAGCAATGCAGGGTGATGGGGAATGAACCTGTGTCTCCTTTGTATCCCTCTATTGGTGGGGAAAGGTGTTATTCTTTCTTTATTTCTGTTCATCCTTGTTTCCTTGTGTACTCCAGCATTGGTTATGGTTATGGGAAAGAGAAACTGTCCAAAGAGGGACACTCAATAAGAAAGCTAATGAACTGGCTTTATACCTGCAGAGGTTTGATATCTAAACAACCTCTCCCCATTCACATAGCAACTCTCATCACAATCCTCATGTTCACCGTACTACTAGCCTAAAGATGGCAATTTATTTACACATCTTTTCCCTGATGTCATGGCTTCAGTTACTCTTTATGTTAATCATTGTTGTATCCATATTCTGTATCTGGCACCATCTATTGCAAACAGATGATATGCATGATACATTGAAGCCTTGGGAAAAAAATCATGCTAAGTCCAGACTTTGCTTTGTCTTAGCAAATAATGTGACATTGAGAACTAAACCAGTTTAAATGAAGTGAAATAAAGGTGCCGACTGTACAATCAAGATTGATCAATGCCTCTTCAGCACTTTGAGCATTTACACAGCTCATTAGTCTTCCTTTGTAGAGCATGGTTGGGAGGGGTAAAATGCATGCATATCTCTACTTTCTTCCCCCTTGTCCTCATCCACTTTTTTGTTTCTTTGCTTTCATCTTCTATCTATAAATACATTTTTTAAAATACAGTGCCTGGTTTGTTTAACCAATTTGCTGCTTGAAAGCTGTTAAAATTGTTGCTCTAGTTTTGTTGTTGCTCTTCTGTGTAGACTTGCAAACTCTTCATGATGTCTGAAGCACATCCTGCTTTAAAAGGGTAACTGCAAAACTATGAAAAGGTGCCGATGCACTTCTCCCATCACCAAACCACCATCACCATCTTGAATGAATCCCCAGGGACATTCCATCACCACAATAGCTCAGGCACGTAACTTTTTTTGCCAGCTCCTGTTCTGTAGTTGAACTGTAAAAAGGCTGCCATCATGGACTTTAGATATCCCAGTGTAACCATCTGGAGTGTGTCCAGTTTTTTTTTTCCATAGGACCAATTTTGATTTGCAGCTTGGGTTTTATATGATACTGCAGTGTCACCGTCAGCAAACTGCCACCTTTGGTTATATAGGTAGCACCTTGACTGACATCTGTCTGCTGGAACGTTGAAAGGATATTAAGACTTGCTACTTTGATACCAGTGTATGTTTTGAAGGTTGGTAGTTTAAAATAAAAGTCCAAAATAATACCATTTCAAATCTAATTTTCATTTGGCCTGTCATGCCCTAGCTGCAGAAATTGTGAAGTAAATTGCCTTGTGCATTAGTCATCTGAAACGTGTAAACAAATTGTCAGTTTGAGCACGGTACTAACATGTATGTCCATTTAAGAGAACTGCAGAACTCTGTATACAGAAAATGAAAGATGGTCTTGGTTGGAATAACTGAGTTGGCTGTCTTGTGATAAATTTTTAATATGTATTCTGTGCCATACTAATGTTTAAAAAAAGGATCTGTTGCTATTGTGAGATGGATTTTAACTACAAGAATGGCTTCTGAATGGCACTACTTTAGGGACACTCTAGTATTTGCTTCTATTGTTTGAGCCTTGTGGATAATGTACAGACTTAAACAAATTCTTGTTGCTGATTTGTTCATTTATTTCCCTGCACTTTGTTACATCTGGGATACAGTCTAACTCATCTGATTTAATATGCATTTCAAAAAATGCCATAACTATTAAACACCTTGTTTACAGACAGATGAAATAAATTTATTCCAACCAAATAAATTTCGAATTAGTGTGTTATGTGGGTTTTTTTCTTTTGCTTCGTTTCCCTTGTGGATTATCTTATACTATTTTTTTTCCTGTTAAGATCGGTATAAATTTAATTATGCAACCTGTTGAATTTAGTGAGTAGGCCAGCTCTGAAGATCCTTTAATAAATATTGATCACATTTTTCAACAGATCAGGAAGGGGGAACAAATCTTTATAATACGTCAACGTTATTTTTGCTGTGCAGCAATTGAAAGTCATTAAAACCAGTTTGATCAACAGAAAAAAGCTGATAGCCAAATTTAGAGCTATTGATGAATCTGGATTAATATAGCTATACTCTAACATTTAGTTTTTTGTCTTTTTGAAAACTGCCCCACTTCGGCGGAAGATCTCAATTTCTAGCATTCGTCCTCCCAATGCTTTTATTCAATCCCAAACACTATTTCTTAATTTTTACTTATTTCTGGTAAATAACATTTATTAAATTTGCATGTCATCCATCTTGACACAAAATGACTGGGTGCCGTAGAACATTAAAATAAAATCATGAATATATAACCATTTACAAGATGGTAGCTTTAAAATTAAATTATATTACATTTGGAAAAGGTTCCAACTATTATGGTAATACATAGATGGATGTGCAGCCTGATATTGTATAAACCTTTATATGTTCAAAAAAAAAAGTTTTCTAGAAAGAAACTTATAAGAAGCAAGTCCACGTTTAAACAATCCCCAGTCTCTAAATCATATTAAAGATAATTTAAGAAAGGAAATGGCAATTATCACCCAGATGGGACTTAAGACTTAATGCTGGGTTGCGCCTCAGGATCCCAAGCAGCAAATAATTTTAAAGTCTATGCCTGCCATGTGCAAGTAAGCAATATTCTTAAAAATATTTTTTAGGATGAATATTTTACAATTTGTTTTTGTTTTGTTTTTTACAAATCAGGTGTAAGAGTTACAAATTCAACTAAGGAACTTGTTTCAGACAAATGGCAAAGCACAGACTTCTTAAAGTATAAAAATAAACAGCTACTGAAAGAGAACCAAGAAAAAATGTGATCGTTAATTGGATGAATTGAAGAGGTTGCAAAACAATTGAATAAATTAAGAATACTTGCTAATTCTAGTCTCTGCTCATAGGCAATATATAAATGGGGTTCCACATTTTAGAAATCAAATATTTAAGATATCTGGAGCCCTCCTTTACAAGATACAGTACTTTAAAAGTATGATGAAGTATATATGGTATGCGTGTGTTGATGACTCACAGTAAAGGCTTTTTTATTGATTGTATTAATACTAATGTGAAAATTGAAGTAATTTATATAGAGTTTGATTTTTTTCCCCTCTTGTTCACTTTCTTGAACCTTATATAGGCATGAACGCCAGCTGGGTGACTTTGGCAAGCCACTCTCCTTCAGCCCAACTCACCTCATAGCATTGTTACAGAGAAAATAGGAGGAGGAAGAAGTACTAGATATGTTTGCCATCTTAGTTATAAAAATAATAAAGTCTTGATTAAAATACAATAAATATGTGAAAGAGAAGTTATTTCTTGTTCAGAGAGGCTTAGATAGATAAGGTAAATAGTTACAAAAATAAAGGTTTGATAAAAATAAATATGAGTTGTGTGTGTGAGAGAGAACTCTGTTCAAGTCTGGCTGGCCTAAACTGCATTCAGGAAACTAATACGATGCATAAGCAAGTATTTTCCAAAGCTTCTCACTATTATGCTAGTTCACAGGTCTCATTCAGATGCAGCTTTTTCACAAAGAGAATGGCATTTTTTAATTTATCATAAAAATCCATGACAAGAGTGTTTTAGTGAAATTTCTGAAAATCTGCTACCTAAACACCAGCCATGCAAAGGGGGCATTACCATTTTTGGAAGGATAAAAAATTCACACAGCCTGTTTTAATGTAGATTCGCATATACTGGCAAAATGGCTATTAAAGTGGAAAACTTATTTATTAACATCCTTTCAAACTTTCCTGTACAAGGCTATATAAAAAAACCCTGTAATTTGACTATACAGAAGCATGGCTACATTTTTTACATAGTTACACTTCTATATAATGAAGTTCTTTTCATGATAAAGTGTAAGTAAAATCCTGCTAAGCTATGAGCACTCATTTTCAAATTCAATATGTAGTTTGATTTGTTTCTCTGCATAGTTTTTACCAAGCTAATGTAGGATCAGACATTCTTATTACAAGGTATACCTACCTCCTTTATGAATCTTTATGAAGTACTGCACACAAAATTGTTTCCAAATATGGCATAAACAAAATTAAATGTTCTAAACCGTGTGCTTTAAAGTTGCCTTTCTGCATTGGTCCCAATCCCTGTCTCAAAGCGGAGTATTAGTGAAGTATGCCAATGAACAGGGTTATCCTGTTTATTTCCTTAAAGATGGGTTAGGCTAAGCCATGTTGAGATTTCTTTGCCAGGTGCTTACAAATGCAACAGGATAATGAAAAGACAGTCAAAATCCTTCACAGAGTTCAAAGCTCCAATTCCTCTTTGTTGGGAAATACTCTTGGCAGACAAATACAGAACAAGTATATCTTGTTCTTTAAAAGGTGCTGGTTCTTGTAGAGAAAGCCTTCACAGACATTAACACCCATACATTTTTGGTTGGTTGGATGTTTAGGGTAGTATTTACCATACATTTAACAACTGAATAGAAGTCCCTGCTTACTTACACCCTTGTCGCAGGAAAAACACATGTACGGTCTCGGTTCAACTTCATTTAACAAGATGCTGTTATACCTCTTTTGTGGGGGTGCATTATATTTAGTGGTGGAAGCCCCATTACTAACATTGTGAAGTCCTGTTAAGATGCTTGTCTTCAAAAGACAAATCGAATAAACAAAAAGAAAAACCTGCAATGAGATTAAACTATAGAATGCTAAATGAACAGGTGCTTCTAGTGAAGCAATGGAAGGTCTGCAATGCACTTCTCTTATGTACAGGTACATAAGGTGAGAGGTCTCGGGACAGGAGTTCATGTAACACTGCCCATTTTGCAGTTCAAACAGGATCTGCTGCTCTGTAATCCTTTTCATCATTGGGCTGTAGCTGGACTACTACACTTTCTTCCGTAACTCCATTCTCTGCATCACTACTGTCAATATCTTCATTTCCTTCTTCTTCCTCCTCCTCTTCCTCATAGTCTGAAGATTCTGTCATATTGGGATGAGAGTATGACTCTGATAATGCCCCAAAAGACTGAGTGCTAGCTGAAGCAATCGGCCTAAGCAAAGGGGTATTCTCAGAGACTTCATTCTCCTGACTGCTGTCTGTTTCAGAATCGGAATCTCCCTGAGAAGGGACCACTTTCTGTTTACAGACAGGACATGTTTTCTTCGTTTTAGTTAGCCAAGGATCCACACATTTGCAATGGTAGGCTGCCAGAAAAAGAAGAAAAGAAGGGAAAGGAGAAAGATGTGTTTGAGGGAGACTGGAAAATAGGCAGTTATAGGCAGTTTGAGGATAATTTTGCATGTTTTATGATAATACACAAGGCATTCTGTGCCACACACCTTCAGACCATTTTTTTCCTATAGAAGCCAGTTTACTTCTGAAGAAACTAGATGCTATTTGTGGTATGAGTTTTTTTTAAAGTTCTTGCTTACATATTGTCCTACTGCAGAGCAGTAGCCTACGAAATGTCATTACTGAATTTAAGAACTGAAATAATGTTGGGTCTCTGAATAGTCTTGCATTTTCAGGAGACAGTTATTAGTCTATTATAATGCCCACTGTAATCATAAGATGCAGTACAAAAAATAAAGGTTAAACTGGCCCTTCTAAGTCTGCAATCAAACATTGTGCTCCCTGTACTAATTTCTAATACTAATAGTTGAATTTCAACTATTATGAAAAATTAAGTTTAGTAAAAATCTGTGTTTGTCGAAAGCTGTAAATGTGGAATTGAGCGCAAACAACACAGAATCCACTACAGGAAATTATTTAGCTACAAGCAATGTCACATTTTTAGCTGTAAGCAAGCCACTGATCTGTACTTTCAAATAACACTCATGACTTGGAACTCCTTGGATTTAGCATTTCAAAATGCAAACTGAAAATAGCATAACTGAGTTTTTAAAAAGTAATAAATGCTGGCCTGCTGTATCAGACAAAGTCCAGTCCAGCTATTCTATTAATCCTACAAAATTCCTACAAATACGGGACTGTTTCTTCTCCTTACGTGCCATACACTGACCTTATTATATTCTAAATTGTTTCTTGAAATAACAGTAATAAATTTCGTTATATGTTTTTGCCCAAGATGGCTGGGAATTCTTGGAGATGTAGTCACAATTCTGTAGGAACCAGTCTTACTTTAATCTGATAAAAACAACTGCATTTACAAATGAAAAACATTTGGTTCTTTGTCTATAAGAAGCAAAAATATTGTATCCCTCACCAAAACAAGAGTTCAGTAAATAATCAAATGTAGCTACTTACCATGAGAACAAGGAAGAATTCTGAGTTTATCTCCATCCTCATATTCATCCAGGCAAATGGCACAAACATCATACTCATCTCCTGAAGCAGAGAAGTTTGAAATGAAAGAGACAGTACAGAAGCAGAATTAAGAGTATATGTAGCAAAATCCATGCCCTACAGAAATTTATTCAGAATGCCTTTGGGTAGCTGTTTAAGATCTAAGCCATTATAAGTAAAGTGAGTCATCTAGAATTTACACCTTCCTAGATTACAATTCATTGCCTTCAACCACTCTATCAAACTGGCTCTCTTATATAGAGTATTAGCATTTAAATAGTTATATTAAGAATTCAGAACATCTGCTATGCAAGAGTCCTGACTTACAACTGATTTAATGATTGTTTTAAATTACCATGGCAAGAAGAATACTTTATGGCTTATAAAACACTCTTAGCTGTTGTAAAATGTTGCACATGTGTTGTGTGTCCCCCATCACCTGACCACATTTGGGGAATTTGGCAACCAACCCACATTCATGACTGGTTGCAGCATTCTGTGCTCATTAACTGCAATCTGCAACCTTTTTTGCATTTCTCTAATAAACAACCCTATTCAGAAGAAAAGATTCACATTTACACATATGAGTCTCTTAATTATTGGCATAAAAGGAGTAATAAAATTAGGTCCAGTCTTTTGGGTCCCCTGACTTGAAACAGTCATGATGTACAACCAAAAATCCAGTCCCAGTCTTAAATCAAGGACTACCTGTGGCTCAATGAAAAAAAGTGCTTTATAACAGCTGCTATAGCCATTCCTTGTATCTTTTAAATTAAGATTTGTATCTGAAAGCCTGAAGAACTGCTGCCAATTTAAACAGTTCACTGGACTACTAGAAAGGGACAATTATAAGAAAATGAACAAATTTATAATTATTTTAAAACTTGCCATATCTCTAGATAAATGAGAGCTGAAAGCTAAGCAGGATCAGACCTGGTTAGTACTTGAATCAGGTACCACAAAAAAAAAATATCACAAGACCGTAAGCTAGACATAGAAATTGAAAATACATCCAAGAAGGCATCTATATATACTCCATGTTGTTCTCACCAGGAGCAAAACAGATATGCCTTATATTCCCCTTGAGCAGAGTTCACTTCAAAAATATTCACTTTATCCAACAGCCTCCTTTTGCCTTAAATGTTTAGCTATTTTTGCTGTTTTGTAATATTGTAACTTCTCCCATGTGTTAAAATTCTTCTTATGAACCCAGCCAATTGCACAAATTACAGGAGAATCTTAACATTTTATATAATTATAACACTTAGTGTAATAGGATGGCAGCTTCAATACAAGAATAAATAGAGCACTTTTGGTGAAAGATATTTCAGGATATATGGAGCATCAATCAAGAAGCTACCTGCAACTTCTTATACCAAAGATCTCTTTTCCTAGTGGGGTGCTGCAAAAACCCAGGAAAGACGAAGTACTAAACTGTTTACAGAACCATCAAAGTATCTTTATTCTTTTAAAAAAATATTCAGTTAAAATGAAAACATTTGCTTTCTTTGAGTTATGTGCCTTCAAGTCAGTTTTTTGACTCCTGGCAATGGCTTAGAGATGAATCCCTGCAGTTTTCTTGGCAAGGTTTTTCAGAAGTGCCTTGCCTCCTTCCTATGGCTGAGAGAAAATGACTGGCCCAAGGTCACACAGCTATCTTTGCATCTAAGGTGGGACTAGAACTTCCTTAGCCATTACATCAAACTGGCTCTCTGCAAATGATATTTAAGAGGGAAAAATCTCTCTCATAAATAACTGATTTTTTTTTCCTGGAGGAATGTGGCATAAAATTAGTAAGGTTGGTCAAGAATCTGAGAAACATTTCAATTTTTCATTTGCTGTGGCTGAAGGATCCTGGCTAGATTTCCAAAGCAATTCCCAATAAGAAATATATTCTAGTCTTTAGAGCACTAAAATGAGACACTGTTGCCAGATTTGCTTTCAGGAGATACAGATAAAGTTGGCAACAATAAAGGTTTGCTACCATCCTCAGTATTGTTCTGCTAACAGACTATAGGGCTCTCCCAAAGTGCCAGAAATTTCATTATCTAGTCAGCTAAGTGACTTTGATGAGGGAGTAAATTGTGTGGCTACTGAATCTGCAGTTGTCATTAAGCCAGGAGGGTGAGCTCACTGTACAGAAAACTGAGACATGACTCAAAATTATATTGGCAGGTTGGAGCAATGAGCTGAAGCTAGTGTGAGTTTTAATTGAGCTACCAAAAATTTAAAATGGAAGCCAGACTACACTTGCATTCATGAGCTGGGTGGCCATAAACTGATTTAATAAACAAGTGGACTAAATGAATACATGTCACATTGGGGGTCTTGACAATATAGATGGTCTTCACTTAACAACCACTCATCTGTAACTATTATAATCTGTAACTTATGATGGTGTTGAATGAAGTTCTGATCATCACAGCATCCTGTGATCATATGATTTCCATTTGTGATCTCCACTCCTGGCTTCAGACAAGTAGTCAATGAGAAAGACAGCAAGAAGCTGCAAATGGCAGTCATAATCATGTCATGCTTAACAATGTCTTAGGATTTGTTTAAGGGTGGCAATTCGGAATGCCAGAATTTCTGTTGCTACACTTTAATGTGATATCACACTTTAGAACCATATTGTTTAACCCTGAAAATTCCAGTCTCTTGTTAACTGAGATCCACCAGTAGACATGAAAACGATTAAAGATATTCTAAATAGAACATGATGTGACTCTATTATTAATTTTCATTGATTAGAGCAATCACAGGCCATATTTCATGGGAAATACAGGAATCGGGCTTCAGGCAGAGAAATATGTCAAATTTACCACACTGAAAGTAAGATACTGATATATTGAAACATGTCACAAACAAGAACCTTGATGAGCACCCTGGAAACCAAGCCCAATGAAGACTCGGAAAGATATGGATAATTCCAGGCATCTTAGCTCTAAGATGTTAATTCGTCTTTGTTGTTACAGAGGACAGGACTAGAATCAGTAGATTAAAACTGTAATAAACAGATCTAACAAAACATTAGAAGTACCGTATTAAGGAGGAAAAGAGCTGCAAATAATGAGACCAAAGAGTTATAATCAGAGGCAGGGTGGCTATTTCTCCGTAGAATGAGTAATCTAATTATTAAGATATTTGCATCCCACCAGAAGCACAGCAGAAACTGTAGTGCTAGTACACATATAGAAAAAAGGTTCATCGAAATTAATGCTGGTAACAATTCACAGACTTTCTCATCCTAAATACTAACAATGCTCCAGTTCCCTTATCTCATTACTGTGATATAACTGTCAGGACATTTCCCCATTCCACCCACAAGGAAAGCTAGTTTTTATGCCATACAAGAAGTCTCAGTGTTGTCAAGATACAGCCTAGAACCTGTTGGCTCAGATTTAACACAAAAATTCAATTGGGAGATGAAAGAATCCCTCTCTTTTTCTAAAAAGTTTCACTAATTAGTCTCATCTGAATGCAAAGAATGGCATAAAATTTGCAGGCAATCAGGATGTGTTATAGTTGAAAGAAAATGAAGGAACGCCTAACACCAAGATTATACTCCTCAAATCTGCCCTCCAAATATGAAATAAAAAAGCAGAAATAGTTAACCATTCAGTGTCAATAGGATTTGACCAGCTGTAATTGGTGCTAATGGATTTTGCATTAGTGCCCTGGGAAATCTTCATCTTCAACAAATGGCAATTCTGGCTCTTCTCTTGCCAAATACTGTATCACAAAGAGCTAATTCTGAACTAGGTTTTCTAAGGTACAACTTCTTCGTGCCAAGAACTACAGGGATTATGTAGGCTTGCTTTGTTTAGATGCTGTCGTTCTCATAGCAATGCCTTTGATTAAAGAAGCTTTATAACGCTTTTTGTGTTACATTTTTCCACAATCACATTTGTTTTCCTCTGGGAGGTTAGTATACACAATTTTACAAGCAATTTAGTTGATATTATAGCACTGACAACTGAACTATTAATGGGAGAGTAAGTTCTGTCTTGATGCTTTCCAATTAAAACTGTTGGGGGAAAAAAACCTAAAGATTTGTTTTTTTTAATTAAGTACATGTAACTCTGTAAATACTGTGAAGTGGCAAGAAATTTGGCTAACTATACATAATAAGAGAAAAAAAATGTTTCACACACCATAGGCAATTAGGTCTGTAAGCATCCAACAAAGCATATTAAGATTATAAACCACCAATATTATTCTTGTAGCTCTTTTACACACAATATAATCAATCTATTTTCACAGTAAGTATAAGTAGCATTAATGTGAAAATGTTAATTGAGTATTTATATTTAAAAGCTGGGAATGGTAGAAATGTGCAAGTAATGTTGAACAAGATGACCTTTAGTTTAATGCAATAGAAATCAAGTTATATTTGAACTGGGGTCTTACACTTTGTGACATATCCTGCAATTTGTTAATGATATATAAATTATAAGGGATACCTATAAACCCATAAGTAGTTAGTTAGTTTCCATTTTTCAGGGAATTATTTCTGTAAAGTAATAATAATATCTGCTCTGCCCTTCTATGTCAGATAAATTGAATAATTGTAGTGTATATAGCTATTATTTTTAAAACAATTATCATCATGTTATTAGAAAGTTTGTTTCAGGAGATTTGAAAAGAGGCATTCTGGAAACAGAGGTGTCCAATCAGTTCAAATATACTAATATACAAAAATATTTTTATGAAAGAATGGATTAATTTGAGGCATAAAACACTATTAACTTTAGAAGGGCACGGCCTTCAATTAGGTTGGTACGCTTTCCTATGGTATGAGAAGAACAAGATACATAGTTATTTTCAAAGAGATTATGTTAGAAATGTGTTATTATCAGTATGGCTTAAAATTAAAGAACAACACTACCTGAAAATACCAGTCTGGCTTTCCACAATGGAAGCACTGCTACATTCTCATGTTATTAATATGGAAAAAATTGTAAGATATAAAGATATTTTCGATGGAAAAGGTGAATTAAAAACCAAGGAACTTAGTAGACAAGGGATGGACATTGCATGGT